TGATGTCTTGATACAGGCATACAATGCGTATTAATCGAATCAGGTTAATTGGGGCATCCATCACCTCAAGCATTTATCCTTTCTTTGTGTTAGGAACATTCCAATTCCACCCTTTTAGTTATTTTAAAGTATACCCTAATTTATTGTTGATTATAGTCACTTTGTTGTGCTATATCAAACATTCTCTCTAACTATCTAACTATACTTTTGCAGCTATTAACCATCCCCACTGTATCCCCTCTTCCCCACTACTCTTCCCAGCCTCTGGTAATCATCATTCTACTCTCTGTCTCCATGAGATCAATTGTTTTAACAGTTAGCTCCAACATGTGAGTGAGAACACGTGAGATTTGTCTTTCTGTGCTTGACTTATTTCACTTAACATAATGTTCTTCATTCTTTTGGTGGCTATATAGTGTTCCATTATGTATGTATACCACAATTTCTTTGTCTATTCATCCATTGATGGGCACTTAGGTTGATTCCATATCTTGGCTATTGTGAATAGTGCTGCAATAAACATGGAATGCAGATACCTTTTCGATTTCCTTTCTTTTGGATATACACCTTAGCAGTGGGATTGCTGGGTCACATGGTAGTTCTATTTTTAGTTTTTTGAGGACCTTCTATACTGTTCTCCATAGTGGCTGCACTAATTTATATTCCCACCAACAGTGTATCAGGGTCCCCTTTCTCCACATCCTGGCCAGCATTCATTATTGCTTATCTTTTTGATAAAAATCATTTTAATTGGGGTAAGGTGATATCTCATTGTAGTTTTGATTTGCATTTCTCTTGCCAAATAAAAATAGAAGTTCAATTTGAATTTCAGATAAACACTATGTTTTAGTATAAATATGTCACATATCCATTGTTTGTGGGAAATATTTATTGTTTATCTGAAATTCAAATTTAACTGGGCAGCTTAGATTTGATCTGGCAATATCACTCTGTGTACCTGTGTTCCTTATCATGCAGCTCCCTGGCTTTATCCCTCGTTCTCATAATGATTTGAATTCAGCCGTCTTAGCCCTTCTCGAAAGGATTGGGCCGTGAATCTCCCCCAGCTCCACATAAATATGTTTTCTTACCTGCCACTGCTCCCAGCAGCAGTGAAAATGTCCAGAGTAGCAGCATCTACACAAAGTTAGAAACATGATTGAGTCTGGCTTAAAAAGTTTTTTAAAAGATTGGCATAATTCAAGTTCATTTAGACCTCTGGGGGAAAATGAGTAGATTCTGGTAAATCGGGCCTGGAAATCGTGTTCCGTACTCACCGTGGCAGTTCTGTCAGGTTCCGCACACAACCAGCTAGCACTGAAAGGTCCTTTTATAGGCAAACCTTATCTTTTTGAGCAGTATTATGGAAAAGTGGCATGACAAGAGAGAAAGTTCCAAGGATATATTTCTAATTTTAATCATAGGTAAACCAAAGTTGACAGAGCAGGCAAGTAGGTAAAGTTTCCCACAGTACTTGTGGGAAGATGAGAGAAAGGTAGATAAGTGAGTATGTAATCCTCAGAATCACCATAATTTCCATGTAGTGAAGGTTCTAGTCTTCCTGCCCCTTTCTTAGTTTACATGGGCATGTGTGAAACTAAGTTGTTTTCACAGACTTGATGACTACAGTCTTGAAAATAAATACTAAGAACTTACCAACTCATGCAGTTTGTGTGTAACTTTGCCTTACCCTCACATACAGTGAAACAGAAACAAGCCTTCAAGATACTTCATGTCTTCCTACAAAGCAGCTGACATTTTATTTTGATAGTCCAAAAACTAATTTATTTCTCGATGACAAAATGAAGGAAAGAATAAATAAGCTAACAAAAGGAATTGGAGATACTACCGAGAGTATAGAGGTAGAATCAGTGACCCCACCATCAGATGAAATTATGAATAAGACAGAAAAATACAATTCAACTTGGAAAAAATAATCTAGGGAAAATAATCTGAAAGAAAAATGTTTGATAGAAAAGAACTGGGATGTTTTTATGATAAATTACTTACAATAAATTCTTAAAAGACTGCAACATAATACCAGAATTTTAAGAGACCAGAACCATTTATCCTGACAATGCGATAGATATAGGTTGAATGACATGAAATTGCCACATTCATAGGTCAAAAGTGGTAAAAAATAATTCAGTCCCCTGGCAAAGTCTACAGGTACAGAAACAAAACAAGAAAATTATTTGTGTACATAAAAAGTTTGTGAAAGTTTGGCAAGGGAAATGTTAAAATAAAGACAGAAGGCAGAAGGGGCAAGGCAGGAATTCCCTGGGTGGGAGACATGGGGAATTCCCGCCCAATCCTTCATTTCTCAGCCTTTTGTTCCCTTC